CTAGTTACGCTTCTGACTGTGTATGTTGCCGTATTTTGTGTGTGTTATTTATGGGTGCTGCACTGGCTTTGTAACATTGTATGTCTGCGTATGTGGGCTGTTATATTGTATATGTCCATGAGTAGTTTGTGGTATTGTGTAAGATACCTATAAATGTCATCCATGTATGGGGGCTGCTTGTGAATTTGTGTATGTGGATGATATGTCACAGTGTGTGATTTGTGGTGTATGTATTTGTTGTACTGTTTGTGAGGTTGTGTGCTTGTATGTGCATTGCCAGTGGTGTTGTGTTTGTAAGGACTGTGTGTGTGTTTGTGTGTGAGCTGTTTGTATTATTTGTATGAGGGAGAGTTTTCTTCTGCAGCTCTGTGTATATCTAGCAGTGGTTTCCCGGGAGTCCAGTGGTGACCGAGCTGGCCAGGTGCATGCTAAGGGCAGGAGCCTCGATAGCTGCTATGCGGATTCTTGTTCACAAGTGCTCTGAGATCACTTCCTCTAAGTGATGCAATGTTTAAATTGAGGATTGTCCCTCACCACCTGCAATCACCACTCGGTTTGCACTAGCAGATGTCTTGAGACCCACTGGAACTCCTTATACCAGAGCCTGTTTGGCTCTGGCAGCCTTGAGTGCCATGCAAAGGCACATCGAGTAACATGCATGGCCCATGTGCCCTAGGATGATGACATCTGGTTTAGGCCACAAGTTATTATTATTTTATTATTATTATTTTATTATTTATATAGCGCCAACAAATTCCGGAGCGCTGTACAATGGGTGGACTAACAGAAACATAATTGAGATCAGACCACTGACGTACAGGAACAGAGGGGGTTGAGGACCCTGCTCGATGAGCTTACATGCTAGAGGGAGTGGGGTATAGTGACACAAAGGGTTAAAGTAGGGAATTAAATAGTTTGTTACAGAAGGGTTTATTGAGTGCTTGGTAGGTCATTTTTGACAGGTGCAGGAACGGAGTCATGGGGTGGGGGATGAGAAACCTGCTGACAGTTTCATTGATATGCTTTAATGAAGAAGTGAGTTTTCAAAGATTTTTTGAAGGAATGGAGGCTGGGTGAAAGTCTGATTGAGGAGGGAAGGGAGTTCCACAGAATAGGTGCAGCCCTGGAGAAGTCTTGAAGGCGAGCATCAGAGGTAGGGATCCGGGCAGAGGATAGGAGTAGGTCTTGGGCTGAGCGCAGGGGTCTCGACGGGACATACTTGTGTATGAGGGAGGCTAGGTATGTTGGAGCAGCATTATGTAGGGATTTGTAAGCAAGCGCCAGAATTTTGAATTGGGCCCTATATCTAACTGGAAGCCAATGCAGGGATTTACAGAGCGTGGAGGCGTGGGAGGTGCGACCGGACAGGAAAATAAGCCTCGCAGCCGCATTCATTATAGATTGCAGCGGTGCAACCTGGGAACATGTAAGACCGGTGAGGAGGGGATTGCAATAGTCAAGGCGAGAGAGAACAACAGCATGAACCAGTACCTTAGCCGCATCCGGCGTTAGATATGGGCGGATGCGCGCTATGTTCTTGAGTTGGAAGCGACAGGATTTGGCTATCGATTGAACATGGGGAGTAAAAGAGAGATCAGAATCAAAAAGAACCCCTAGGCAGCGAGCCTGGGAGGTAGAGGTGATAGTAGCACCGTTGACTTGGATGGAGACAGACACAGGAGTAGCAGCACTTGAGGGAGGAAAAACTAGAAGTTCTGTTTTGGACAGGTTTAGTTTAAGGAAGTGAGCAGCCATCCAGTTGGAAATAGCAGAGAGGCAGTCAGAAACACGAGTCAAGGTGGTTGGAAAGAGATCAGGGGAGGACAGGTAGATTTGCGTGTCATCTGCATATAAATGGTATTGGACGCCAAAGGAGCTGATGAGTTTACCAAGGGAGGCAGTATAGATAGAGAACAGTAGGGGGCCAAGGACAGAACCTTGGGGGACTCCGACAGGGAGGGGTTGGAGAGAAGAGGCAGAGCCAGAGAAAGAAACACTGAAAGAGCGCTGGGAGAGGTAGGAGGAGCACCAGGAGAGCGCAGTATCCCGTAGACCAAAGTTACGGAGAATGTGAAGAAGCTGTTGATGATCAACAGTGTCAAAGGCGGCAGAAAGATCAAGGAGGATTAGGATAGAGTATTGGCCGCAAGATTTAGCAGCAATTAAATCGTTGGATACTTTGGTCACAGCAGTTTCGACAGAGTGACCAGCGCGGAATCCAGATTGAAGGGGGTCAAGCAGAGAGTTGGATTCGAGAAAGTCTGTCAATCTGGCATAGACAACTCTCTTGAGGATCTTGGCTGCAAATAGCAGTAGCGAGATAGGGCGGTAGTTGGATGGGGAGTTGGGATCAAGGTTGGGCTTTTTCAGAATTGGGGTTACGGTTGCATGTTTGAAGGCAGAGGGAAATGTGCCAGAGGAAAGGGAGAGATTGAAAATGTTAGCGAGAGGAAGAGCAAGAGAGGGAGACAAAGTGCGGATGAGATGCGAGGGAATAGGATCGAGGGAGCAGGTGGTGGGGCGGGAGGACAGGAGCAGAGAAGAAACCTCTTGTGCTGTAGCAGGTGCAAATGAGCTTAGGATGGCAGGGGGAGTGGGGTTGGGTGATGTTACTGGTTGGAGAAAGATTAGATATCTCTTTCCTGATTGTAGAGATCTTCTCAGTGAAATGAGATGCAAAGTTTGTGGCGGACAAGGTGGTGGAAGGAGGGGGAGTCACAGGGCGAAGAAGTGCATCAAAAGTGTGAAACAGGTGTTTGGGTTGGTGGGACAGTGTGCTTATGAGGGTGTTGAAGTAGCTTACTTTTGCAGAGGAAAGAGCCATGCTGTAGGAGTGCGGCATAAATTTATAGTGGACAAAGTCAGATGCAAAGTGAGACTTTTTCCAGCAGCGTTCAGCAGTTCTGGAACATTTTTGGAGGTAACGGGTCAGTTTGGTGTGCCAGGGTTGTAGTTGGGGGCACTTGCTGCTTTTAACTGTAGGAGGTGCCATGATGTCAAGTTGAGAGGAGAGAGTGGAGTTGTAGAGTGAGGTTGCAGATTTAGGGCAGTTGTGATTTGAGATGGGTAAAAGGAGTGTTTGGAGTTGCTGAAGATTGAGAGAGTTGAGGTTTCTGCGAGGTTGGAGAGTGGACGGTGGTGAGATTTTGGCATGGGGTATGCAGATGTTAAATGTTAGCAGATGGTGGTCAGACAAAGGAAATGGAGCAGTGGCGAGATCAGAGGTTGTACAGAGATTAGTGAAGATGAGGTCAAGAGTGTTTCCTGCAGTGTGAGTTGCTGAGGAAGGAATCTGTGTGAGTCCAAAGGAGGAGGTTACAGAGAGCAGACGAGAGGCATCAGGGCAATTGAGCTTGTTGATAGGGATATTGAAGTCCCCAAGTATGAGAGAGGGAGTGCTAGAGGAAAGAAAGTGGGGTAACCAGGAAGAAAAGTGTTCAATGAATAGTTTAGGGTGACCGGGGGGGGCGATAGATGATGGCAATTCTTAAAGGAGTGGGCTTAAAAAGGCGTACAGTGTGAACTTCAAAGGAAGTAAAGGATAGGGCAGGGGCAGGGAGGATAGGTTGAAAGGTACATTGAGGGGAGAGAAGGATGCCTACACCACCTCCTTTACAGTCAAATCTAGGAGTATGGAAGAACTGTAGACCACCGAAACATAAAGAAGCAGGAGTAGCGGTATCGGATGGAGATAGCCAGGTCTCAGTGAGTGCCAGTATTGTGAGAGAGTTAGAGATGAGGAGGTCATGTATAGCTGTAGATTTGATATTACTACAAATGGAGCGAGCATTCCAGAGTGCACACTGAATTTTGTTAGAGGAGGATAGACTGCAGGGTATTTGGAGGAGGTTTGCATGGTTTCTGGTTATTTTAGTGTGAGCAGATGAGGTGAGGGGCCCTGGGTTGGGAGAGACGTCACCAGCTGCCAGAAGTAAGAGGAGAGATAGAGACAGGAGGTGTGAGTGGGTTTTATATGGGCGGCGACTAGGGTGAGATTGGGTTAGAGCAGGAGAGAGAGAATAGAGAAATGAGTGCAGGGCTTGAGATGAGAGAAGGGTGGAGTGTAGCAGAGAGGAATTAATGTAAATGTTAGTGTTTTGTTGCGGGAAGTGGGTGGAAGGGGATATTTTGATCCTTAGGGAGATGAGAGAGAAGGAGAGGAGGAGAATATAGAGCATTGCTCTGATGGGTAGATAATTAGAGGAAAGGAGAATGAGCATAAGGGAGGAGAAGGAGTGAGTGTTAGGGGTTAAGAAGGTGGATTGTGCTCATTACGGGTAGTGTTTGCAGCTGCTATTTGGAATTATCTAAAGTTATGTGTGGGATTCTATCTATAAATGTAGTAAGGAACTCAGACTGTGGAAGACAGAGATGATAGGGTCAAAACAGGACTGCAATAAAAGCTATGGAATGGAGATGCACAGAGGAGGTGAGGATTGGTCAAGCAAGACATTCGGGTGGGTATCAATAAAATAAGGGGGGGGGAGAAGAAATAACAGAGAAAATCTTTAGAGATAAGCAGGATGTTGAATAACATTTAAGTTAACAAAACCAATGTTGAGCAGGGCAGGGAGCAACTAGCTTTAGCATGCAGGACAAGACAAACTGCAGAATATATGTGTGTATGAGCAAACACACACACACACACACACACACACATATATATATATATATATATATATATATATACACACACATACACACATACATATACACACTAAAGAGAAAGCACGTCCAGTTAAGATACAATGACAAAGAAATGGTGGTTAGAGATATATAGTTTAAAAATATGCAAGGGGTTAAAATTCAATACAATTATAGTGTCCAGTATTAAAGGTAGATAGTTTCCTCCATAGTCTACCTTGCAGAAACTCAGACATGCATAAGGCCTTTTCCTTCCAGCTGTAGGTGATCTGAGCACTGTTCAGGTTTGCTAGAAGTGGTCTTTTAAAACTCAGACTTGCAGAAACTCATTACAATTAGTGGGTCATTTGCGCACCTGCTGCCTTCCTTGCATGTGGTAGCTGTTTCTCAGGGTCCCTGTACGGAATGGAACCCTGATTCCCCGTTACCCATGGTCACCATGGTAGGCGCAGAAACTGGCATCGAAAGTTGATATGGATGACATCCGCATGCAAAGTCGCCGCCACGGGGATGTGCGATTGGTCCGAGGTTCTCTGGAGTCAACAAAGTGCTTGCGCAACTATAATTATCAACAGTTACTCTGCGGAACAGAGTTGTCTTTTTTTATATGTCCCAATATTTTGGGGGCTACCCCAATTAAAAAATATATATATATAAAAACAGTGTTGGCTACCTCATCCTCCTCCTCCACCGCTGCTTCCACCTACACCACCACGGTCACCACCTCCTAAACCTATGGGTCACTTACTATAAACTATGTACACATTAGCAGAGTCTTGTGAAGGCCTTTTCTCCATGCATCAGGACTGCAAGAAATGCACCGCAGGCCGCAAATATTTCTTTTTTTGTATGTCCCAATATTTTGTGGGCTACCACAATTAAAAAAAAAAAACCCATAAAAAACAGTGTTGGCTACCTCATTCTCCTCCACCGCTGCTTCCACCTACACCTCCACGGTTACCGCCTCCTCAACCTATGGGTCACTTAGTATAAACTACATACACAATAGCAGAGGCTTATGAAGGCCTTTTCCTAATGCATCAGGAGTTGAGCATTTCTCCATGCATCAGGACTGCAAGAAATGCACCGCAGGCTGCAAATGTTTCTTTTTTTTGTAAGTCCCAATATTTTGTGGGCTACCCCAATTAAAAAAAACAGAAAAAACAGTGTTGGCTACCTCATCCTCCTCCTCCACTGCCACGGTCACCGCCTCCTCAACCTATGGGTCACTTAGTATAAACTATGTACACATTAGCAGAGGCTTGTGAAGGCCTTTTCTCCATGCATCAGGAGTTGAGCATTTCTCCATGCATCAGGACTGCAAGTAATGCACCGCAGGCTGCAAATGTTTCTTTTTTGTATGTCCCAATATTTTGTGGGCTACCCCAATTAAAAAAACAAAACAAACAAAAAACAAAACAAATAAAAAACAGTGTTGGCTACCTCCTCCAACGCCGTTTCCACCTACACTGCCACGGTCACTGCCTCCTCAACCTATGGGTCACTTCGTATAAACTATGTACACAATAGCAGAGGCTTGTGAAGGCCTTTTCTCCATGCATCAGGAGTTGAGCTCAGTTTGAACAATGAAAGAGAATACCCTGCACTCCAACGTTCTCTCAAATGGATAATTCTGGTGATCCTCCTGACAACCATGCTTTAGATTTTGATTTATGTTCTTCCAAAGCTAAAAATCAAAGATTCCATCTAGTGCTATTTTATGGCTCAGCTGTATTTTTAATTTTTATGTTATTTTAAGTGATTTCCCTATCCACATTTGTTTGCAGGGCACTTGTCCTACTCTTACCCCCATTTTACTTGCTTTTGCAGCTCTCTAGCCCTTTCCAGGAGTTTTTTAGAGGCATTTTTGTGGCCAAAGTTCGGGTCCCCATTTACTTCAATGGGGTTCGGGTTCGGGGTCAAGTTCGAGACCGAACCCGGACTTTTTTTCAAAGTTCGGCCGAACCCGCCGGACCCGAACATCCAGGTGTCCACTCAACTCTAGTTATGATGCTTAGAGTAACCCTTTGAAGTGGCTCTGTCACCTTCTGGGTTCTTCTTTGCATATTTTGGTTTGGCGTATTGTGGCACAAGAGTGAAGGAAAAGGTAGGTTGCACTTACCTGAACTTGTTCTTTGTGCCATCTTAATCCATTGCATCATCTTTATTTCCTGATGCTTAATTTCGTAGTAGCTGATGTCAGTGTTGTACCCTTCACATGCACAAGAGTATGAAACTGATGAGACCACAGAAGCCTCCATAGAAAAAATGTTTTTCCCGTCCCGTCACCAGTCAGCTCTGCATTTTTGTCAAGCTTTGTCAAGTGTAGTGAAAATACATAAGACAAAGTAGACCTTAATTTTTTACATAAAACCACAGTGAAATTCCCACACAGTCTTTGTAGCATTTCAGATTGTATCTTTACAAAACAACTATCCAGGATGGGGGGATAGTTGACAGAGCTGTTTTAATATCAGCACATTCTTTCATGTCTTCATAATTCATGCTGGAATTGACAAACATAAAATTTTAAGTTGAATGCTAATTCGATTCTTTGAAAATAAATAAAGCATAGTAACAACCCCTGGATCTTGGGCTAAGGTAACATCCCCAGGACGTACTTGAAAACTAGAGTAATCTGAACGTACCTTTCCTGGGTAAATACTTTGTTATTATATTAGTGATGGTACATCATCTATTGCAAATTCCAAGTGTATGCTTAGACAAGCGACTTACACCCATATTATTGTCCTCTAGAAACTACACTGCTATACATATTAATAGCAGTTACCGTACAGATTTTATTAAGTTTCCAAGTAGACTCATCCATGTTTTCAAAATACAGATTAAGGAATAGCACACAAAAAATATAGTTTTTAAAATTTTACAAGGCTTCTTAAAATCATCTAACTTAGCAAACAAATATGAGGATTCGGTTACTCCATATCGCCATATTGTGTTTAGCCAGCCACTCACTACCAGTACCCGATATTGGTTTCGGTATTGGTGGGCTTTACATGATATAACCATAAATTTTATTAGCATCCCCATATTTGTTTGTTCATATAGGTGATTTTTACGTATATATTTTAAATATACATTATTTTCTGAAAAGAAAAAATTGCTGCTGAGAAGTCAAAGTTCTGAGTGTGCCCCAATTCCATTTTTTCTGTGTATATTTGAAATCCAGACCAGATTCTTTGTGGGTTAAGCACCCCACACCCACCACTCCAGTGCTCCTTTGGAGGTGACCACAGAGAAGTATAAATTGAGAAGTCTCTGGAAGTGGTTTAAGCAGTGAGTATTGCAGTTAGCATGTTAATCACCCATGTCATGTTACAATTAGTGTAGGATCCAATGATATTGTTGTACCATGATGTAGTGATGAGCTGGACATTATATTGCCATATGATGAAACTGAATACCCATGTTTTTTTGCCAAAATAGGTGATTATTGTAAAATATTGAACTGTATATTTGTGCACACTGTTCCTTAATCTGTACATAATCAAGAAATGTTCTCTGCTGAGCAAATATAAGTTGTGTGACAACTTTATAACAGCTATAACTGATTAAACTGCACATATAACTTCTCACATTTTACCAAATGCAATTGTTTGAATAAAGGCAGATAGTGTTATTGTAAAATGATATAAAATGTCATGTTAAAAAAAAACAACAACTAAGCAACCCTGTAATCTTGTAAATGCATTGAGTATTTCAATGAAAGTGCAACCAATGGCATGTTATTGAACCAGAATAAATAATATTCTAAAGTCTTTCTGAATCCCAGTAACCGTTAGAATACCTCAAGAGTTTAATTAAGCTCAATGCACTAAAGATTAATTGTGAATTAATTCCTACAAGTAAAATGTGTACATGGAATAATATTGGGAAAAAAAACTGTCTTAACAGTCTTGTTTTCTTTTTTAACAGATGGAAGAAATTATGATTAAAAATCAAGAGTCCTTAAGCAATGACAGCATTTATTGTGAACAAGATTATAATTACAAACATCATGTATATAGTGCTGTTTACATTGTTGTGTTTTTTATCGGGGTGCTGTTTAATGGAGCAGCACTATATGTCTTCTGCGTGGTCAATAAAAAAAGAGGACCATCAACATTATGCTTGATGAATCTTGCAGCTGCCGACCTCTTCTTCATAATATTTCTCCCCTTGAGAATAACATACTTTCAAATGGATGCAACGTGGATCTTTGGAGACATCATGTGCCGTGCCACAACTTACTCTTTTTATTTCAGCATGTACACCAGCATCTTCTTCCTAGCCTGTCTCAGCCTTTTCAGATATTACTCTGTTACATCTTACAAAGAAATCAACTTGAAAAAGGTCTCAAAGATATGTGTGATCATTTGGCTCTTCACAGGAATTAGCACAACACCTTTCCTGTTCAATGGCTCCCACATCCGCGGAAATGTAACACGGTGCTTTGAGCCCTCGGGCTTGTCTGCTTGGACCAAGATAATGTACATGAACTATTATGCTCTGATTGTTGGATTCATCATTCCATTTTTGACCATTTTAGTATTTAATGGATTACTTATCAGGTATATATTACTGATACCTATGGATAAAAAACACATTCGAAGACAAGTCACAATGATTGTATTGGTCTTAATAGTTTGCTGTGTTTGCTTTTTACCCTACCACATTCAGAGGACAGTACATTTACACTATTTGGTTCATCACCCCAATATCTGTAGCTTGCACAATGTTCTAGAACGCACTGTTGTGGCCACTCTTAGTTTAGCTATACTGAACAGCTGTCTTGATCCTCTATTGTATGTTTTTGTAGGCCATGGTTTTAAAACATGGCTACTTTTATTATTTAAAACTAAAGGTAGTTTAAATGTCAGACCTTTGTCAACTGAATCTGGTGATGTAAACAATGTGTTGGTGGAAGAAGTACAGATGGAGGAAACTTTAGTAAGAAAGACATAGCACATTTTTGACCATGCCCACATGATTCTGTTCCATGGTGTTTGCTGTGATGAGTAGTGGTTAAGCATGTTTTCATTTTAACAAAGGGACATAAATCACTTTTAAACAACTGTCTCATTTAAAACTTTCCGTTTCAATTAGACCGTTGCCTCATTACGCAGGCTGAAAAATGCAGGTAAATATTATTTATATATATATATATATATATGTATATATATATATATATATATATATATTTATATATATATATATCTTTTGTAGCTGCTTCCTCTCTCTGATGCTTTCCACACCCACTCCAGGAGAAACACAGATCTAGCTAATCTGTATCCTATCCCTAGGGATGCTGGAAAAGTGCATTGGGCATGCCTGACAGATTTACACATGTGCTTGTTGGAAAATGCCTTCAACTTGCAGAGGGAGAAGAGAGGGAATCT